GCGTCCCAACTCTGCCTTGGTGCAGGCTGCGGCTCCGTGCTGACAGCAGATGGAGACGTGGAGATGGACGCCAGCATCATGGATGGCAGAGACCTGGGCGCGGGAGCCGTGTCCGCCGTGCGCTGCATTGCAAACCCCATCAAGCTGGCGCGGCTGGTCATGGACAAGGTGTGTGTGCCCGCAATGTGCTCCTGGGGGTGGGGGTGGGGGTCCTGCTGGGCTTCGGGCTGGCAAGGCTGCCACCCGGGAAACCCCGAGGTCACGGCCTGTGGAGAAGCAGGCACAGCAGCCCCGCTGCCCGAGTCTCAGACAGCCACAGTTGGCCTCGGCAGGGTGCTGAGCCCGGCCTTGAAATCACGTGACACGTGGGACTCTGCCAGCTGTGTGTGCCTCTTCAGCCTGCAGTGTCCTGCGCATGACACAGCACATGCGCACTGAGCACATACTGTAGCACTTGTTAAATAAGAACCATTATGTTTTCTGGTTTTGCTTTTTGTTTGTGTATTTTGCAATACTTGGGGTTGAACCGGGGCCTTTGCACTGAGCTATATCCACAAACCGTTTTTTATTTTGAGATGGGATGTTGCAAACTTGCCAGACACCAAGGCTTGCTGGCACACACATAATCTCAGCACCAGGAAGGCAGAGACAGGAGGATTGCTGTGACCTCAAGGCCAGACCTGGACTACATAGTGAGTTCAAGACCAGCCTGAATTGTATAGCAAAAGCATGGCTCAAGAAAACAGAAAAAAGTCCAGAATCGCCCAGCTGAACTGGCAGTGACAGCGCTCCTCCCTCAGGAATTAAGATGGAGTTAAGGTTTCTAAGCCTAAGGCCCCCCGGGAATCACAGCCCTGGCACTCTTCTATCAGTTGGGACTGTGATGAAAATGGAAGAACTCAGCCAGGTTCTTCAGTTTTCAGAAAAACAGGCCGGGGGGGGGGGACCCCCAGCACAGGGTGCGCGCCTCCGTGTATGAGCCCCTACCCTGGTCCCCAGCACAAGGAGGAAAAGAAGCAACCCTGGCCCGTGGAACTGGCCTGTGCGGCCCTTTGCGCCCAGGGGCGAGAGTTGTTTCCACGCAGTGGGAGCGGAGAACAAGATGAGAAACTGTTCAGCGCAGGCGCTGTGGGGCAGCCTGCCATCCTGGCTGCTCTGACTGGGGCAGGAGGGTCGCGATTTCACCACCACCCCGGGAAGCCTGACCTTGTCTCCAAAAAGGAAAAAGTATAATTTTACAAAACTCCTCCTTTTTCCTTTGCTCTCTTGTCAGACCCCACACTGCTTTCTGACTGACCGAGGTGCAGCCAAATTTGCGGCAGACATAGGGGTTCGGAAGATTCCTGCGGGGCAGCTGGTGACGGAGAGGAACAAGGAGCTCCTGCTAAAGGAGAAGCAGCAGCAGCAAGGCGCCGCGAGCCCTGGGTACTTCCCGGAGCAGCCCCTGGCTCCTGGAGGCCTCGGGGGACGTTCAGCCCCAGGGCGGCCGCGAGTGCTCCTTCAGCCCTCAGTCGGCCCTCCCCTGGGTCCTGGCTCCTTTTGCGGTAGCTGCAGCCTGCCTGCCGCGCTCTCCCCTGCGTGGGCCGCTGGAAGTACCTGCCACTTCCTGAGGCGTCTGTCCCTTACGTACATGGGGAATCTCCTGCCTTTGGGTTATATTCCTCCTCTCCTTGGTTGTGGCGTGGTACCCCGATTCCTGCTTTTTAGCTTATTTATTGAGAGGCACAAGGAGCCCAGAGTGGCCAGGAGTGAGCCCTGTGTGCTTCCCGGCACGAGCCTGTCCCCTCTGGAGCTAAGACTCCTAGGCCGGCTGAGCGCAAGGTTGCAGAAACAGGAAGCAGAAACGCTGCCGGGGCACCGGGGCTGGCTCCCCCGCACTTCCTCGCTGGAGTCCTGGGCCCGTGAAGCCCGGCCCCTGGACGCTGTGCTGTTGCCCACCTTTCCGACTTAACTGTGCCTGTTGTGGTGTGGAGGAGAAGCCAGCCTCCCTCCTACAAGTTCAGGTGCATCCTGTGCACCAAAGTACGGGTTTCTTCTGTGGTTTTAGAGTCCCAGTCATTTGGGTAAATAGACTCCCTCATTTAAAAGTAAAGTGGAGGGCCAGGTTATAACTCAGTGGCAAGGCGCCTCCCCAACAAGCACAGGGTCCTGAGTTCCATTCCTGGTACCAAACAAGTTAAAAATGAATGAATGAATCAAAGTACAAGCGAGCATCGCTAGCAGCTGGCCGTGGCGTTCAGCCTGGTGCTGCTGACAATGGCAGCGTTTGCCCAGAAGTCTTTCTTGGCGCAGGTGTGGGGCTACCTGGCGGAGCGGTCATGCTTCCTGGGTCTGGGGTACAGCACGGAAGAGTTTCTCAGGGACCGCTAAGGATCTCCAGCTTCTGGGGTTGCAGCGTCCCGGCAGCTGCGGCTGGTCTCCTGGGCCTGCTGTTCTTGCGGCCTGCGGCCCAGGAGCAGGGCTGGCTGAGAGGCTCATGCTCATTTCAGAAGAGGCTACTACATTGTTTCCAGAAGCGCTGTGCAGCCAGCGCCGTAACTGAGAGGACGAGCATGCGCCCTGCATGCATAAGGCCCTGGGCTCAGCCCCATTACCAGAAACAGTGCAGGAGGATCAGAGAGCGCCACTCTGAGCCACGTGTGGGACCCCACAGAGCCCGGCTCTGTGGTTCAGGTGTTTGGGGAATTTCTGTGGTTTCTTTGTTGTTGCTTTCTGGCTTCAGTGTGCTGTGACTGACAGTACGAGCAGGGTGGTCTGATCTCTTTGTCCTTACCTAAGCAGGCTTTATAGAGCAGGACGTGGTGTGTTTTGGAGGAAGGCCTCTGTGCTATGGAGGAGAATGTGACTTTCTGGAGGGACAGAGTGCTCCGTAGGTGTGTACTGCGGGCACTCATGCAAGGTGGGAGTCAGCTCTCATAGTCCCTTGTTAATTTTTTGCTGAGTTGATCTATTTCCAGAAGTGGGGTGTTGAGGTCACCTCGTGACCGTGCTGCCATGTGTGTGATCCTTGGTGTCCCTGGTGTGATCCTTGGTGTCCCTGGTGTTCTCTTCATGAAGTCGTGCCCCTACACTCAGTGCAGAGAGACTGAGACTGTTCTCGCTTCCTGCTGAGTGATCTCCCAAGAGAGCTGCAGTCCACCTGCCCTCACAGTCCCCAGTGAGGCCCCGCTGGAGGCACCCGAGGGAGCTTCCCGCAGTCATGGGTAGGGCTGCAGGCCCTCTGTGTGGGGCTGGGTGGCTCTCTCATCCCTAGGAGCACCCCTTCTCTCCACAATCCTGCCACTCACAGGTCCTGGGTGCTGGTTTTGAGATCTGCGTCCTGGCATTGCTGTCTCGAGTTTTTAGCTCCTCTAAGTCCTGGCTGCAAACACCTCCCTCCCTGTGCTGGAGAGGTCAGAGGGCTCGGAGTTCATTCCACCAGCCAGGCCACCCCTGGACAGCCCTTTCCTGCAAAGGTGCATCCATGCAGGGTACTGTGTCCAGGAGGGGTCAGTTCACCTCAGAGCACAGACCCCAGATGCTGTGGTCCAACAGGATTCTGGCCTCATCTTCCCCTGTCACTCACAGTGTCCTTGGGAAACTGCTCTCACTGTTGTTCCCAAGTAGCCACCTGTCCTTCAAGAGTGATTTTTATTTTAAGAGCGATTATTTAAAAAACCCAATTTGGAACGTGCTACCTCTCAGCTCAGACAATCTTGCGAGCTCCTGTTCAGCGGAGCAGGAAGGGACACCCTGAATCACAGAGTTCAGACGAGATGGGTTGTTTTGGTTGACCAGGTTGTTTGGATAGTACACTTGTGAGACCCCTGGTGGTGCATCCCTGGCCACCCCTGACCTTCCTGATGCTGCTGTCCTCAGCCAGCACCAGACCTGGTGGCCCCCAGGACTGCACGAGGCTCAGTGTGTCTACTGCCCACTGGGACACCCTCCCTTTTGCAGGAGTCTCTGCAAGAGCTGCACCCCACTGCACCTCACCTGCTGCATGATTCCCCTTTCTCTTCTGTTTTCTTTCTTCTGTGTTTTGCCCCCAAAGCCTTCTGGTTCCTTTGGAGAAGGGACTGTGTCTCTGTCATTTCCCGATGTGACCCAGCACACAGGACAGTCCCTTGGGGCTGGGGAGCAGGATGGGTTTTGGTGCACAGTGACCCCACCTTTTCCTCGAAAGTTCATAATAAATGTCAAGGGAAAAATTAACTTACTCCGTCCTCCCTACAGCCCACACAGGAAGCAGGCTCCAAGGGGGGCCACGGTTGGGCATCTGGGACACTTGGGCAGGACCCTAGACTGGGCCTGCCCCACACCCACAACCTTGATCCTCGATTTCTTCTTGTGCTGGTGGAGCCTCAGAGTGTGGGGCGCAGGTGCCCCAGGGATTCTCACACTGGCCCGAGTCTGAGATGAACTCCTGTGTGTCCCGTCCCCATGCTCTTCATGGGGACAGAGAGACGGTACAGCTCCAAGCCCCCAACTCGGAGCGGGGCTGTGGCTGTGGTGCACTGTCGGGTGGGAGTTGGGGAACCCACTGCAGTGCACGTGGGGAGTGTGGAGGAAGCAGCCCTGGGTGCAGAGCCTGCAGTGTCAGGCGCTGTTGATACGCAGCAAGGACCCCAAGGTGGCTGTGAGCTCCCGGGCACTGGCAGGAGCGCTTCTTCTCCTCAGCCTGTCGCTTTCTGTTATTTTTGGCAGGAACTTGGGAACCGTGGGTGCTGTGGCCCTGGACCTCAAAGGGAACGTGGCTTATGCCACCTCTACAGGGGGCTTGGTTAACAAGATGACTGGCCGCGTCGGGGACTCACCATGCGTAGGTAGGATTGGAGCACATCTCTGTCCTGCCCCTTCCCCTCCCTGTCACCAGGGCCCCTTGTTCTCCCCATTTCTTCCCTTCCTTCCCTGCATGGCAGTTTCCAGGTCTCCTGGAGTGCAGCAGGGCACAAGGGGCATTGCGGGCAGTGCCTGCCTGGAGAGGTTGTTGGCATCCAGCAGGTGTCCTGTGCCTCCTAGGCTGCGATCTGGGTACCTTGGGGCAGAGAATAGAGATTGTGGAGCGGACCTGTGTCCCATTCAGCACAGGTGGGGTCCGCAGGCTGGCAGAGGACTAGCCCGGGTCCCCCAACGCTGGCCCTCACTTACCCTTCCCCAGTAGGCAGCTGGACATGGCAATGTGAGCCTTGAGTGAGTGGCACAAGAAAGACACAGCCCTACAG